GGGGGGGGGGGGGGGGGGGGAACTGTAATTCAAGCCACACTTGAACTACACCCCCAAAACTGTCATAAGGGGTCACTTGTAGATCTATGAACGTTTTGTGTGAGTTGCAAAAGGGAATCGGAGGTGATGACGGATGGTTTACGTTTTTGTGCAAGTCTGAGCCACTTGATTTCGTTTTCTTTCCTCGTAAACTTCCAGAAACCTAATGACGAAAAGGTCACTGATATTTACTTGTAATGCTTACTTCTTCATATGGCAGTTTCGTCGATGATTCTTCGTTTCAAGCATAGCAGCACGGAATCTCTAATAAGCAGCGGTCTTCTTAAATTGCCTTTGAGAAGGTCATGGAGATTATGGAGCGTTTCATGTTTTTGTTAGCGCTAAATGTTTACTGTTTATGAAGGCCATGGAGTATAATCTGAAGGCCTTGGAGTTTGATCATTGTCGTTCACAGGTGGTGGCTATAATCGGGAGAATATATGTGGCTGGTTGGAGAAGGGGAAAAGTGTCTGAATAGTGATTCAAAGTGTGGAAGCCAGTAGTGACTGCCGCATTTTTCAACAAATTTCGGTAATGGTGAATTTAAAAACATTTCTGGAAATGGACATTCATGGGGCTCATTCTATGGTCAGATTAGTAGCAGTATTTCAGAGGCTTATACGATTGTTTGGAGATGCTTCTTTTGAAATCCGCCACTTCAGTTGGTGTTCAGTTGTTTATCTTCTGTAAACTTTCCTCTACTTCTGATGTTTGTTGAACCCTTCCTTATTGATCATTCAATTCGATATTATTGTTCCTGTCTCCTGCTCAGTTGTTTTGAGAACATTTATCTGAAACCAATGGAGAAGTCCGCTTGAATTCCAACAGAAAGGCGCGTTGCTGTTGCTATTATGGTAGTTTACTAAATAGTTTAATTGATTATTTTCTGTTGAATTGAATGGTCATCTGTTTCCAAATCCTACTTCATTATGTAAATAAGATATAAACTCGATTTTTTTGACCACATGTATTTGTTTTTACCACTCAGCTGAGACGGGTATTTACGTATCTTGGGATTATGAGAGCAGCGTGATACGCTTTCTTAGAAAAAAACATAGAAAAAGGTAATTTCAGATCTGGATTCACCAGGATCCTCAGCAGAAACCGCTGTAGAAGCAGCTGGAAACGTCGGCAGCCGGTTGTCTGTGTCGCCTCGCCATTTTATGACGTCATCGGATGATGTGAACGTGTCGTGGGGTGCGTGGTCTGTGGCGACGCTGTTACCCTTCCGACTATGGCCGCTACTTCCGCCATGGTATACTTTGCTGGCCACTGTCGGCATGGTTTTTGTCTTTTGCCTCTACCTACTACATATCATTGGATTTTGTTATAGGTTAGTTCCTCATTCAGCATTTTTTTCATTTTATATGTAGTATAGTTTGCGGTATAGCGGGGGCTCTCCTGCACTGCTTTCCATTGGATTTCTTGTTGCTACCCGTTTTGACTGTTCTGGTCCATTGACTTTTCGACCAGCCCGTTCTTTTACTGCATCCTCCCCACTGCTGACCACACTCCATTGTCTTTTGTTTTTCTCTTTTTATCAGTCCTACAATCCATTCACTTCATTCCTTTATTTGCATCTCTCTTGATTTTACTGAGATGTTTCTGTCTCAAAGCACTTTTTTTAAAATCATTCTGTAAATTCGCTCAATCATTCCTTGATTGACCACACCACATACATAATCTCGTTTTTTTGTGGTAATCTTTGTGTTTGATGGAACACTTCTGGATTGTGATTGCACAGAAAGCACGCGTGAAAGCATACAATGTCAGCAGGAACTGATCTCCCGGTAATGTGATTTGTTGCAACCATATTAGGTAGAGCATTGTAGAGCTTCGAAGTTTTCATTGGTGAGCTCACAGAGGTTGAACGAGCTCACTGAGTCTGGTTGCAACTTATTTCTAGTTCTTGATGCCAGGCTTGATGCTTAGATTAAGAATCTTGGATAATCCATTCAGGTCTATCAAGAACGGCCTCGAGAACAAACCCAGTTTTGCTCGCAGACTTTCAGCAATCCCTCTGAGCAGATTTTGAAGAGTTCTCTTCCCGACCTAAACCATGAGCCAAACCCCTTTTGTTGCACCAGAAGCTTCGCAGTGCCGAGAAATTCAGTTAGTGGCAAAGCAACTGATCGCAATAACGCCTTCGTTCACTGTTGGTTAGTTGGGCTCATTGGCTTTTTTCTCCCTTTATCTCTTCAGAAACTTTTTCTAGGATGTGCTTTACCTTGATCACGAATAGCGTGCGCACTTTTGTTAGCAATGGTACCATAAACGTGTCTCCTCATGAATGTATGTATGCTTCCAAAGAATTACGTAGGAAAAGATAGGCAATCGAAAGGCGCTGAGAGAGCATCGTTATGGTCTCACTTTTATCAAGTATGCTTGTGGATGATATTTCAGGGAGAATTTTTTTTCCGCCTAGTAGTGGTTTAGTTTGGTAGTACCGTGCCGCCCTCTGCTCGTTATGATTTTATTTGCTTTTGGTGAACAAATACCTTGTTATGGAGGTGATAGAGATAATCAAAAACGGTTAACCTAGGGATGTTCAGTTCCTGTGGTGTTAACCATCTTTTTAGTGTCCTGGAGTACTTTCAACTAATAGTAAAAACTTTCCAATTTTCAGTCACCGTTCAATAAAATTACAAAAGTTTCTACTCTTCCAGTTCCCTGTCCTTATGATTTCAGTTTCAGTAAGTATCGGTTACACCGAACAGTCGATTTTGATCTGAACGCACCTGGAGTGTCAATTCTTAAGCCGTTGTTAGGGACAGACAAGCATTTGAAGGCTAATCTGCAGTCGTTCTTCACAATGAAGTTCCCAAAGGTATGCTGATTCTGAGATAGTGCAACGAAGCTCACGATTTCAAGGATGAATGTTTGCTCCTCAAAAATATGAACTTGCAGTTCGAGTTGCTGTTTTGCGTGAAAGAAAGACACGATCCAGCAGTAGGCATTGTCAAACAACTCATGGATAGATATCCTGCCGTCGAAGCGAGGATATTCTACGGTCAGCTCCAAGATTTTTTTCTTGAATGTTCTCGATCTTCTCGAAAGATGCCTTTTATAAAATGCAGCTGTGAGGAAGGACTGATAGAAGACTGTTTTTCAGGAGGGGAAGATGTTGGATTGAACCCAAAGATAAGCAATATGATGCCAGCGTACCGAAATGCGAAGTATCCGCTTTTGATGATCAGCGATGCAGGTGTGCCGAATGGTTTTTTCCTGAGTTTTTATTCTAGTAGATTTCCTTAAAATTCCTATGATACTCTTCATTAGAATTGTATTTCGAAATAACGGAGACATTTGTTGCGGTGAGCGATCAGTTGTTAACTCGATCGACTCTGCCCTATTTGCGCTGCGGAAAAATTGGGGAAATCTCTCTTCTCGAGTGTTCTAAGATAACCTAGTCCAACGTTTCATCCATTGGCTACGTAGCTGTTCTTTTTCGAGGGTTTTTTTTTACTCTCCTTTACCAAAGGTTGCGAACTTCAACTGCACAGATCGCGAATAATGCATAAGGCTCTAGTAGGGGCTCTAGCTCCGTATAAAGATCTAGTTATCACTTGTCGTCTTTTTCAAAGCGTGGGCTCCTTATCAAACATTGTTGACATCACTTCCACCGCTTCACTGATGTTTCTGCTGCATTCCATACAACATGAGGGTAAAGTAAAAACGGAGCTATTTTGTTTGGATTTGTTCACTTGACGCTTTCTGAAGAGCTACTGGCAAGCACTATGTAGTTCTGCGTTTTTAGCGATTATGATGCGCTCGGACGCTTTGATGGATATGGTGAACTCAATGGAGGACGATGTGGCACTGGTGACTCAAGTGCCGTATTGTAAAGATCGAGAAGGATTTGCTGGAGCTCTAGAGCAGGTATTATCTTCTTTGGAGTCCGAGTATTATAAGTTGAGACCTATCAGATAGTAACAAATGCAACGGTCAGATGCGCCTCTAGTAGTGCCTTCTTGTATCTGCGCACTTCGTTTTTATAAGCAGCCCCCGTAGCTTCATAGAGCGCTGGCGGCCGCNCACCCAGATATTTGTGGAATTTGCATCAGAATAGAATTGGTTATCCTTCCAAACCAGAGCAAGTCGAGTGAGTTAATAAATTTGCCTTCTCGCCAACTTCTTGGGTTCCTAGTATTCCAATTTTGTCCATTCGGTGAATTTAGACCATGTCAAATGATTTAACTCATGTATTCATTCTATTCATTCTGGTTGAGCTTGAGAACAATGACCTCTACTTTAGTCAATGGATATCATGATTTTATCATTATCATGCTAGGGGCAGTTGGTGTTTACTTGCAATAAACTGGCTCCCTTGTCGTCTAAATAAGTGGCATCTCATACTTCTATACCCACAAACCTGCACAATTTCTGCTAACCCCACCTGAAGGTATGGGTCCTTCCGACAATTGGGAAAAGCTACATAGGCAGCTACTGCTGCTTCTTTTGTTCAATGGATAATGTTCTCATCTTGAGCATACCTTTAAACCTTCATGTTTCTAGGAATAATTAACGCATAAGGAATTGTGTGCGTGTTTCAGATATATTTCGGCACCAGTCATGGCCGTATTTACCTTGCTGGAAACTGTATGCAGTTTGTGTGTTCAACCGGAATGTCTTCGTTGATGAGAAAAGTTGTATTGGATGAATGCGGTGGACTATCGGTAAGTCATTCAGTCACTGCTGCATGCAGATATCAATGCTGTTTTCACTTTTCACAGTCTCAAGCTTTTCTGTAGAGTAACAGGCACAGTTAACAAAACCAAAATATAACCCTGAAATTTAATGCGTTATTTGTTTTCTTGGGGCTGAGGTATTCAAAAGAAGGAATCCTAGAGATAAAGCTTTCTCAAATTTTGATCCGGTCTTTGGAACGAAGCTCCCATATTTCGCAGAAATAACTTTCATGACAGCAGCTGCAACGAAATAGTCTCAAAGCACATAGCACAGCGACTGGTTGTCATCAAAACAAAACGACATTGCAGGAAGGCAGGAGGACAGGGTTAGGGATGAACCCAGAGTCTTGCAAATCTGCAGCGAATGATTTGGGGAGATTAGCAAAGTTAGTTGTTGGTTTAAAATTGAAAATAATGTCTTTTATCGCTTTGTTAGCCTCCGANACAGGCACAGTTAACAAAACCAAAATATAACTCTGAAATTTAATGCGTTATTTGTTTTCTTGGGGCTGAGGTATTCAAAAGAAGGAATCCTAGGGATAAAGCTTTCTCAAATTCTGATTCGGTCTTTGGAACGAAGCTCCCATATTTCGCAGAAATAACTTTCATGACAGCAGCTGCAACGAAATAGTCTCAAAGCACATAGCACAGCGACTGGTTGTCATCAAAACAAAACGACATTGCAGGAAGGCAGAAGGACAGGGTTAGGGATGAACCCAGAGTCTTGCAAATCACTGCAGCGAATGATTTGGGGAGATTAGCAAAGTTAGTTGTTGGTTTAAAATTGAAAATAATGTCTTTTATCGCTTTGTTAGCCTCCGAAGTGGCATTCCCAGAGCGACCGTTCCTGTGAGTAAGGCGAACCGTAAACTTCTCGTGTGCAGTCTTCAATTCTGCGCCAAGTATTCCGGTGTTTTGAAGTTTTCTTAGCTAGAATTGCGAGCGTAACTTCAATAGTACTTCATGGACTGCCTTTTCCCAAAGACGCAATTTGTGCCTCTCAGGCTATTATAAATGCTCTATAGATCATTGTTCATTTGAACTAGTGCGTGTACTCAATTCCCTAGCTCCCTACTAGATTTTAGGGTGTTAGATGAGGTGAACTGATATCTCAGATCCGAAACATTTTTTGAGATACTACTTCAGGCCTTCGGTGACGTTCTGGCGGAAGATTACTTCATTGGCCTGGAGTTCAACCGTCGGTTTGTTTTTGAGATTCTTAACTTTTCTTATTGTCTGTGATAACACTTGCTTGTTGACAATAGGCTCTTGTTCTTGGTTTTCTTTTCATTTTCACTTTTTCTTCTTATTTTCATTTCTGTTTTTTTTTTCACTGTTTGCCATCGTGCCGCTCCTCAAATTTAGTACCTCCTCAACTATTTTCTGTTATGTGTCCTTATAAGGATACAGTTAAGCTGAGAAGAAGGGAACTTTCAAATCGCTCTGCAGGATTGTCTTTTTTAGCGGTTGGCGATCAGCAATTTCCACTCATCCAGCTCTTCAAAACGGTGCCGAGCCAACAGTGGCAAAATTTCACGCGAGAATAAGACGGTGGATGCAGTTGCGGATAGCGATGCTACCTCATATGATGTTTGTAGAACCCTTGCAGGTAAAACAACTCTCATTTCAAAAATTTTATGATGTTTTTCAACGGCTTGCTTAGTTTTATTGATTTGGGACTACTTTCTCGATCTGCCAAGAACGTCGGATTCCACTTCTGAAGCCACTGACCCTCAAAGCACATGCTCCACTCAGAAACGACGCAGAGCATTCTGAAATTCGGGAATGTCTCTCTCTTTTAAAAATTCATCAATGTTCTCGGAAGTCCTCGCATTCTACTTGACGCGTTGTGTTGGTGACCTAGTTGTGAAGTATTATCTCTGTTATACAATGATAGTAAAGCCGCTGTAAAATATGCAAAAAAGCTCAACGGGCTAAGGATGAGTGAAGATATTCTTTGAAGCTGGGAAGCCGCGTTAGTTCCAACACGTTAGTTTTGAGTTTTATGAACATGATAGGTGGGCGGAGGTAGCAGAGGTAGGTGGTGTAGCAGTTTTGTGGCGCACTTTCCACATGCATGTTCGCAGGGGATAGATATCCGCCTAGCCAACCAAGCCTTCCATCCCCCAGGCGTCGGTTAATTGGTACCAGATTCGTCTTGGTGCATAAAAACACTACTTGTTCATCGGCTGACAACTGCAAGCCATTGTATAGGCCATGTACGCATTCTATAGGCCACTACGATTCTGAAGGGAAGTCAAATGGATAGGCGCATCCTTCTGACGGGACAAGACTAAAGACTGAAAACTGAGACACCAAACTGTATACTGTAAACTTCTCTCCTACCTTCCTCTTTTCCCTTGAATCAATGAAAGAAGCATGTGAAATGTTGACATCTTCGTTCGACTCCTATGTTTCAAACGCGAATTCAATTCATCTATTTTTATCAAATCTGAATCGATTATTCATTCATTCAAACTCACTTCATTTCATCTTGTACTCATTCGCAATGAAATTTTGGTAGTCTCTTCACAAAGATAATAATATGTGGTCTATGGCCTTCTCAGACACATACATCTGACTCTAGCCATCAGGTTTTTGGGCGATGGAGTTGTGTAACTTTTACTATCAATAGACTAATTTCATTGAGTTAAATTGACAAACGAGACCCGCGTTCAATTCCACAGTTCGAGAAATACAGTAATTTCAGGATTGTTTTATGTCCGGTTTTATTGGTTGCCTTTGTGCTAACCATTTATTTGGTCTCAATATTGTCGCCTATTACATTGTGCACTGTATCGCCTGGTTTGTATGTGATTACGCTCTCAATCGGTCAATGCAGGTGAGCTCCAGTAATTACTATTGTTGTTGTTCTTTATTATAATAGTTTCTAATATTTCAAAATGCTGCTATCTCTGAGCTTCATTCGAACT